AGTACTAGTATTTAGACCAGTCTCCGTTACAACACAACCCAGTTTAACAATCACAAATCTAAGGTATTAATTACTCCCTAATGTAGCAAAAAATATCTGTTAATTATGTAAGCTTGCAACTGGCCTTGGTTTTGCACGGGTGAAATTTGCATGTAGTATGTAGTTACTAGATAGTATGACTTATTCCGACACCATCAAATAAATCAGATCAGCAGATTTAAATAAAACTTTAATGAATTAAGCCGTAATTTATAATTGAGAACTACAAAGATTTACTAACGAGGCTATGGTTCAGATAATGAGTGTGGCAAGAACAAACGTTTAAGGCTCAATAAATAACAATCCCTTCGCTTGTTAAACTATTAATTGCGCGCCACAAATTGTTTTTCCTTCGTAGAAAAAGGGCGGGAAAGGAAAATCATAGTGCTGGTAAAGGTTTGATCGGACGCCGGATTACTGGCAGCTGACAAAGCTTTACTTATTTCGCACTTAACGAGCCCACAGGTTCTACGCTTTGTATGCACTCAAGTTGTTACAGAGTATCTTAAAAATAGAGACTTAACTACTAATAGCGTTAAAAACTATATGATCCTAGGAAAATCCTAAAAAGACTTGGGGAGACTAAATTGAACCACATTATCCTACTAGTATTAAGCGAAAGTTTGTGTTTGTTTTCATGCAAAAACTACTGAATAGATTTGAATGTAATTTAGTTCTAGGATAATTGTAAGCCTAGATTACAATTTGAGCTATTTTTATTCCACTACATAATTCCCTACGCGGCCTTAGCCGCTGGTGGAAAGCTAGTACATCTATAATCGGCAAAGAATCGGACTAATCTATAACAATGTTTTTTATTCGATATTTACAAAATAGAGTTTTTGAAACTATCAAACAAGATAAAAATACAAACTGTAAAGGAAAATTTCAAAGTGATACGTGTGCGTTGAGTAGCTTGGTGGCGCAGTAGATAAGCGCAGCTACCAGCGATCATTGTTATTAAGCAACTTTCGCAAGGCTTAAGAAGGCACGTTAGGCTATTGGGCCCGGTTGCATTTGCAGTTGTTAATACACTGCAATCCGCATTGGGCCAGCATGTAGGGTCATGGCTTATCATTTTTAAACATCAATAAGGAAAGCCTGAGCCCCTGCAGTGGAAAAGTAAAAGGATGGATGATGTTGACATGTGTGCTAAAGTGTGATATTGAGAATCATTTTAAACACTCCATTTCGCGTCATAGTGTCTCTATTCATCCCATTGTCTGCTTTCTCCTTAATTTCGTGAGTTGTCTTAGATAGAAATTAAAATATAATTTGTTGTATCTGTTGTAAACTACTCTGTACGGATTCCGTGGCGGGTACGGCTCGCACTCTCGCTTCATTTGGTAAAGTTCTGGTCAAGCTGCCGACCAGTGTTGGGACGTGTTATGTGTCGATGTTCCCGTTATTGAATTATAAACTATCTACCCGCTGTGTACTCAACCTGTGTACAAAATTGGTAGACTAGTTTAGGTGTGAAAACATGACAGACTCGTACCGATAGAGTTTTTTTCGTATTTAAAATATTCATATAGGTAATTGCTTTTAAATTTAAGCATTTTTCACTGTCGCCTGTAGTTTAGTATAATATATTATATTTGATCAATTTTGCATTCACAATGCTATACGGGAAAATATTCTTCATTAAAAACGCTTAAAAAATCACTTTGTCCCTGTTATAAGTATTATTACTTATACAAAATATGCGTATATACTCTTTTATATAAAAAAAGAATATTGTAGTAATTTTCATAATGGAGTAGAATCAAGAAATTATGTAATATGTAGTTTCTATATAATAATATTTTTGTCTATTTCGTACAAAACGACGTTATCCCTACCTATTTTTCTCATTGATTGGCATGTATTGTTTAACTTGTCTATCTTTTTATTATTACGTGTTAAATAAAAACAATAATTAGAGTTCTACAATATTTTTCGATATTTTCTACGTTATTTAATATTATAGATATACATTTTGTTATGTTGTGTCCCATCTCTACCGTCCACCTAAGCTGTAAGTGGCTTAGTTACTGTACAAGTGCCGCCAAATACCGAACCAATGCGGGTCTAAGAACAAAAGGCGGATTAGGACCTCGAGCCAGGCGCCCGAAAAAGAATTAGCAAAAATACCTCCACTCAAGGCGATATAACCTTTTTTTTATTTTTTTTCTCGTCGATCGTTAGATGGCGGGTTGTTTTATTGGGCCCGTATTTGTTCTGGCCAGTTTGACCTTTCAGCTGGAATTTAAGTATAAAAACTTGTGGTTAAATGCTGCTGGCCAGCTACTTTCTTTTCTTTTGAACAATCCCAAATGACCTTCTACTTTAAAAGAGAATGCAACACGATTAACGACTTTTTGTAGAAACAAGGCGCTTTAAATTCTCCGAACAATTTAAGTCTGCCCTTAAAATATATCGATGATTCCGTTTCTGAGCAAACTCCTTTCAATAAGTTGAATAAAATTTTGTTACTACTATTCTAATAAATCCTCTAAGAATTCCAAAATCGAGATAATATATAAATTAAATTCCTATGTTAATCTTACGTCTGAATGTAATTTACTATAAATTTTACAAGATATTGTGAAATATCGAATTATAGAAAGAAAATGTAGATTACGTTCATAAAATCATTTGAAAATGGAGTCTTGTATATTCCACAAACATCACAAATGCGGAACTGTGAATGTTTATATAAAATTAAATCTTTGTATTACCTTAAAATTGTGACATCTAATAACAGCGCTTTAAATTTTATATTGTAAAAGCTTCGTAGTAGCTTAATATTTTATACTCGGATTATAGTATCTATGACTGCTAGTCCTAAAGAAATGATATTTATTGGGTTATTGGGAGGTTTTGAAAATTACATTTTTGAGTATTTTTTTTGGTACGGCAGTAAAATCCTCTATCAGAAATGCCAATATCTAATCATCAACAAGTTTGCGTGTACAATCAAATAATATCCAATACGGATTACTGAAATCCCTTCCTAAATTGTTTCTAATATGGAAAAATTTGTAAATTTTCAATAGGTCCAGCAAATCTGACATATCAAAGTTTATTATTATTTTCTTTAAAACAAATTTAGATAGGAATTTTATTATTCCATATTTGGTTAGTTCTTCTATATTTACGGTAAGTGGTGAGATAGGTAACAAATTATTTACTAAAAATACTATCCTGGTAGTTCTAGTACTTAATGTTTTCTATAATCTGAAAGTCGACATTTGAAAGTAAAAAAAGTTGTTCGTCAAGCTTCTTTTATAATTAGCTTATGGAATTTTTTTTCAGATCAATTATTGTTGAGAGAAATTGCTATCTTATAGCCTAAGACTATAATTTTCGCAAACAAAGTCGCGGGAAAACGGATGTCTTTGCTTATTTTAGAAAGTATGTCCAATCCTAGTCTTCTATAGAGAGAGACGGATTGGCTATCTCGAATAGGATCGCCCGCGGCATTATTTGCCGACAGACATTCTCAAATGTTTATTTAAAAAATGTGTTAGTATTCTTTATGAAAATAATAAAAAAAAACAATTTTTACTCTGAGATACAGGACAGGACAGGGACAAATTGGATTTTAAGCATTTTTCATTAAGGATATGTTTATAATGCAAATTTGATCAAATAAAATAATATATAAATAAAATAAAATAAATATGTTTCCCAAGACAAGAAGTTTCGGATAAATATTATTTATATTCTTAAATTCTAAATCTTCAATGAGACACGGTTGAATATCCAAACTCATTTTATTTAAATTGAATTAAATGAACACAAATAAGAATGTTGTCTGGGTAAAAAAAGAAATACTATTTAGTCCGTCAGTCAGAAAATTGATATATTAGATACGTATTTATTTTGCATGAATTAAACAAGAAATGGCTTAGATAATAGGCATTGAAGTTGAGGAGTGGGGGCTCGTAACGTCACAATTATATTGAAAATGGACAAAGGTGTGACGTCATACGAGATTTCATCTCAAAGTATCCGAAAGTATCCGTTTACGAAAAAGAATATACGTTTTTTAATATTCTACAATAATCTACCTGGTGGATAGATAAAAAAATACTCATCCTCCCTATTATGAGCAGTGAAAATGAATGTATAAAGTAAGAAGCATAAATATGTTTACTAACCTTCTTGGAAGTGATTGTAGGATTTACGGGTCGCGGAGATTTTCAGTTAGGGTGTAAGAATCGGTCAGAAAGTAGGTCTCTTAAATAGAAACTCAGAATAACAACAATAAACAATGAGGGAACAACACGAAATCAATTAGGACAAACCATGAGAACAGAGGATAACGCTTTGAGCGAAATTTAGCGTCAAAAACTTTTATTTAAAAATTTTATTTATTTCTGTCCAACTGATATCTCTTAAAGTAATTGTAATTGAACGTCGTCTCCTTTTGTAAGTCGGTTAAAAAAATATTTTAGCTGTAACTATGGTTTATTTGCAAATTTATCACCCATTACCCATTGAGAAACACTGATTAACTGGACAGTGAGGGTGACTCACGATATAACGCGATATCGCGATATAACGGGGACCGTGATCATTTGAACTATTTCATAGTTTTATGTGTATTACTTATAAGATTTAACATTAAAACAGAATGTATTCAACTACCTGTGAAACAAAACAGAAGCTAATGTCAGCTTTTGCCTTTATTAGCGCTCAAATGATAAAAGCGCTAATAAAGGCTACAGGGGAATTGTGTATAGCGATTAGACATAAATATAACTTCAAATTTCAATTATCATTCTTTTTGTAAGCGATCATGATTCTCAATGTTACATAATTCTATTATTCGCTATTATAATCGTTATATCTTTGAAGATAATTGTGATAGATAATAAAGAAGAAATTACTTAGACACTTAAGACACATATTTTACATTTTTTTTTGTACTTCAATATTATTTATAAAAACCAGATAAAAAAATCTATATAAACCTAAACAAAAACATGTGGCAAATCAATCGTGCGTGTTATCTTCACACTCTCGTAAGTAAGAGACAGTAAATTAACTCCCCATCTCTTTTCTCCCCTACAATTTGGTAGTTTAGCAACAGGCAAACGGCAGTGCGGCGCGCCGTCGTTCAAATTTCTAAAATCGCGCGTAATGACACGGAAACCATAGACTAAGCAGGTGGACTTTTCTTGGCTGCACAGAACAAGTTTCGTAGCCACCTCTTGAAAAAAAGAACAATCTTTTAAACAAGAGACAAATATGAAATATATGTTCATCTAAAATAATGCTTAAACTTTTATCCAGTCATTTAAATATAAATAAAAAAAATCAATTCAACCAAGGTCAACTTGTGAATTAACATTGTTATAGGAGTCTTTGTGCTTTTTAATTAAAAACTCTTTAAAACTTCGCATGTAGCTATATTCATTCATTTTAATATTTTATAGATAAATATTAGTCAGAAATGAAAAAAAAAAAACTGTATTGTCCAAAGTTTACTTCTGGATACCTTTCCCGCCAAATCTGCTGTCACTCCGTGGGCCGCCATCTTTTATGGCTACGTTCCTTTATCGACACGCTTCGCGGGATTTATAATGTGTGAATAATACCCCGTGAGGTTAAATACGTCGGCTGACAATACATAAATTATGAACGACGAAGGGAAGATGTTAGGTATTCTTGGGTTTAGATAACTATTTTCTTGTTTATCGGGGCGGAAAGGTCTCTTTTTTGTGTTGGCAACAATGGCGTTTGGGGACACTTTTATTGAGATTATTTTATTGATGATGCAGTGACACTGAGTGTGTGATGTTTGTGTAACAAAAAAACTCAGACCACAAAGTTAATAAGAATTACTTAATTACCACTTTTTAAACCAATTTTAGTCTAAGGCTATGATAATATTTGTCAAATAAAAATCATACAACTTTCGCGTTGCATTATATTATATTGTACAAGACGGGTATTAACGCGATAGATTCGCGATAATTATCGAAATCTATCGCGTTAATCGAAATCTAACCCGTCTTATACAATCTAAATAAAAATCATTTTATAAAAATTAAACATGGATTGTTTGCAAAAAATGGAAAAATAAATGGCTCGATAAAAAAAAAGTAAAAGATGACTCTAAATAGATTTTTGAATAGATAACTATATAAAAAGTATAAACATAGGTTTTATTTTTTATTAATCCGAAATTATCAAGGGATTTTTTTATATTGCATTTGTTTTTTCTGTGATTAAAAATGTATGGAACCAAGAGAGCGTGTCTTTACTTTTGATGCGTATTTGTGAGGGAACATAAGCAATGGTACAAGAGGGCCTTAAAATTAAATAAGATATTGTTTCCAATTGAATAACCCAACTAATAATTTCAAGTATATTTACAAAAATCATTTATATATCACAATCAAACTCAAACTATACAGGTTTTGGTAAGAGCAGTCCGTCGTGTGTCCAATTATTTTAACTAGGTGTTTATATCTACGGTAAAGGCAAAAAAATCCCTAAACACGACTGTCTAGCTTTATCTCGAGTCCCCATCGAATTGGAGATCGGTCCATTCGATACAGAACTGTCGATTACGCATTATAAATACTTTTTTTAGCCACGTTCAAAAGGCATATATATTGTAAAAAAAGATTAGGTCTCATGGTCACCGTACATTACACCAGCGTAGCTCTGCCAGAAACTTCAATTTGATTTTACAGGTTGGCTAATAAATAATAAGCGACGCGCGTAACTTTAATTTTTATTTATTTATTTACGAAATAATAGCTAATCATTCACAATGTAATCACCGTCGTTATCTACCACTGTACGCCAGCGACTAGGAAAAAATAGGATTGCGTATCTGTAAAACTTTGCCGGTTTGGATTTGAAAAAAATAATCTATGTTCTGTTGGTGTTCATTATTTTCTTGCAGTTGATTACTAAATGACCGGAATATACTAAAATCTGTTGGCGCTAACTCCGGTGAATATGGAAGATGTGGAACTGCTTCTCAGTTCAGCCCTTAGTAATATGCGGTCGGGCATTATCATGGAGGAAAAATATTTTGTAATGTTATGTACGCTTACAATGGAGTTCAAGCTTCAGATTATTGAGTTGACACGTTCGCTGTAATCGTGATATTGGTAGGAAGAATTTCCCAGTATATTATTCCATGTACATCCCACCATACCGAGAGCATTAGCAACATCAGCTGAGGCAGTCCTGATTGATCTCTAAAAAGTTTTTGTTATTTTTCGTCCTCTGTGTATCTTATATATTATGTGTTCCTTTGATGTACGTTTTTGTTTTCTTGTAATTAGTTCTTATTTTGAGATCAATAAATGTTTCTTATTCTTATTACGTGGATGAAGATATTTTTTTGGCGTATTTTTGTCTGGTTCGTTGCATGTATGCTTAACATACATAACCCACTTTTCGTCTCCAGTGACGAGGTGGTCTAGCCAGTTAAATGTACGACGAAATGATAATAGGTTTACACATATCTCTGCACGGTAAGCGAGTTGATACTTGATCAGCTGATGGGGTACCCAAATGCCAAATTCGTAAGACTTTCCTAATGCATGCAAATGACCTTCAATCGTACCATGAGAGTAGCTAAGCTCTACAGTCAAATCATGTGTGCTGCGTCTACAATCTTCTTCAACGAGGAAGTATTTAAAAAACATTAGTTCCCGAAATCAAACTAGATGTCGCTACGGTACGTTCTTGATTTCTCCATGACAACCTTACCGGTTTTCTTTCATGTTTAAAAGTAAATTTGTTTTCAGAACTCAATAAACAACTCATATTCTATTTGTACTTTTTCGTATTTGTATTGATATTTAAGTTTCGAACCTTTTCAATTTAAGTTTTTAATGTGTTAGTTAAAAGGAACGAAAATGACTGTCTTTGGTCCATTTGTTTCCTGGAAAAATCAACTTTTGCTAGAGTCGCCATCTAGTGGAGGTGCTATTTAGTGCTTTCGTTTTTTTTAAGTTCTTCCTCATTAACATCTTCAGTTATCGGTACTAGGGCACAATATTACAAATATTTTGCCACTTTGATTTATCAAGACACCTTTGTGCTAATATGTGTTTTGGTATACTGCATTTGATTGGAACACCATTTAACACCATCGTGATTTAACTCCATAAAATTTAATATTAATCTAAATTCAAATTGCAATTCTATTATACTTCAATGACCATGTGGTGAATAGTTATTATCAAAACTGGAATGCTGAATTTCAACCTTGAATATTTACCGCTCAGCTTTTGCCTGTTTGCGTCACTATGACACATATGTTTTTGATGAAATACCTAAGATGACATAGTATTAGTGAGTAATTTCCTTAACTATTGTTAATATTTGTTATCATTTACCCAGGACCAATCATTGTCCAGCTACACTGATAATCATATATTTAAAACTATATTACTCAATCGATTTTAAATTCGTCTACTTACAAAAAAACTAAAAACAGATTTAATTTACGAATATTTCTCACCACCCCATCTCACCTCATTTTAACATAAACATTTATCAATATATGCAAATAAGCCAGTTTTAATTCAATAGATTTTAGACGAGAGCGAATCCAGGGGTCTCCTCCCCCTGGGCCCAATCGACTACTAAGGCGGACCACAAATTAAAATTGAAAACATGTTTTTAATATTTAATCAATGTAATATTATATGTACTCTGTATGACGGCAAACGCGTTATTCGGGAACTATCGCATCGAATATTTGAATGTTACTGCGGTATCGCCACAGCCGCCATCTTTTTCTTATTTAAATATTGGTAAATACAGTAGGTACTTTATATTTATTAATAAAATATCTACTTTTTACTTGTATATATTATCGCAACTATGTGACCCGCTCTGGCTTCAAAGTTGGACTTATTTTTGATTAGCTGCTGATGTAGGTTTTATGCTCCATTTATAAATAGGACTATGAGCTAATAAAACACTTCGATCGCTTGCTTACCGATATTTTTCCCATTGTATTTTGATTTGTTGTATGAATTATCATGCCTTAGTTATATTTAACATCTCTCAAACGGTTTTCATTGTCTTCTTGTGTAAAGCCAATTATCTGCGTCTATCTATTCGAGAATGTAATATCCCAGTCAGTAGTTCCTAAACTCCATCTTTGGCCTTTTCTTTACGATTCATGTTGTATCAGAGTTAATAACTCGTATATTTAAAAAAAAATCAAATGTTAGCTAGCCGCCAGTTGAGTGTTATCCACATCAGTGTAATGTGCGAAGATCTTTATAGCTCATAGTCGTGGGCAGTAAACACGACCAATTCATTTGCCGATATTTCTGTTTACATCAGGTATAGATAACATTTGAGGCGTTGAATATTTTAATTAAAATTTACCGAGAAGAAGATAAAGCACCATGAGGTATATATATTATATTTCAAAAATGTTATTTTTTTTTAAATTTAAATTTATAACTAATAATAACTATTATTATTCAGCCCAGGATCACTCTCATTACGATAATAGTTCAACACGAATAATAGTTTTTTTATATAATTTTTCCATACACAGTGTCATCTCGATCTTAGAAAAAAATACATTAAAAAATTCATAGTAATTCATAGTCATAGCGATAGCTAAAAGAACGTTTTATCACTTTGCATTTATATTATTTTATAACGCTATGTATTATGTTGTTAACAAGAAAATTAAATATATACATAACCTTTTGGCTTAAAAATAAATATTTTATTTAGGTTAGTTCAAAACTGTCATAAAAACATAATTCCTAATGTTGAAATTGTGTAATTTTGGAATTGTATCAATTCTATTATAGCAGTATATTATACAAAAAATATGTTGATTATCTACAAAGTAACAGAGATACGTGAAGATATGATTTCTGTCGGTCGATTTATGAACACAAATTAGGAACTGCGATACCGCCATCGCATATAACTTTTTTTAATTGTCTATGAAGAATATGGGAGCTATAGAGTAACTTTGTGTCTAAAATATAAAAATAACTTAAATGATTTTATTTTAAATGTAATTCAATTTTTAATAAAAATAATTATGCTATATGTATATTACCTATGCATTAGATATATTTTTTAATCGAGTTTTTTTTGTAAAAGTATTACTTTAGCAGTAAAAGCAATAATTAAACACTTTATAAACGTGTCAAATCAAACACTTTATAAACAATAAAGTGTTTGATTTGACACTTTATTGTTTAAGTTGCAAAAAAATAGTTTTTGTGTGATCCTAAATATAATTTGGGTGTTATCAATTGAATCTATTCAGTAGTTAATGGTATAGGTTATAATTTTTTTGCTACATATAACTACTCTAGAGATTTTTGTTCTCATCGAAATCCCGACGACAATCAGGGAGGTGACGACTATTTCATTTCTATTTTTTTTTTCTATTTCATTTACTACCCATTAATTTTATACGCCTTTTTTATTCGGCCATCAAAACGGGAACCGGGAACGACTCTATTAATATAATATGGTAATTACGTGGAGACAAGTTTGGGAAACACAGGACTGTTTAAGGAATGTGTGAACAATACGTATAAGTGACAAAAGTATATTATTATAGTAACATTATTTTTAATTATTATTATGTTTTCTCTAAAACTTAAATTTTTTTAAATGAGCCTTGTAGTTGAGTAAAGTGAGTCGTGAATTTTGCAATAAGATATTTTTCGAAAATGAACTTAATTTTTTTTAAATGAGAAGATTTGGAGTTCGTTTAAAGATTTTTAACAGAAGAAAAAAACAGACTTTCAGTTCAGTGACCTCGAGCGTAGCGTTGACGCAGTATAGAAGTTCAATCCAATAAACTCTACCACGAAAGGTAAAGTTAAAGTCAAAATTGGAGTTCAACGCTATTTTAAAATATATATAACTTTAAAGGAACACTACGTTTTATAAATAATAAAAAATATTTTGAACTGCCAATTTTATATATTTTTTTAATTTTGTCACGTGTAAAAGAACGAAAATTACACACTAACCAAAATTTATTGTTTTAGTCTCTTTTAAACTTCTTCGTTTAATATTATTCTTACTTTGAAATGGATTTGAAATGGATGGATTTACACGAGCAATGCTTTTTCTTTAAATTTAATTTTACGTGGGGGGGAGCGGGACTTCAAACAACAAAGCTTGGCAAATATCAGTATGTTTACTTTTGCAAGTAATATACCTAAATTTTGCACTCGGAAAAATCTAATACCCATTACTATGTTCAAGTCTTATGTCGTATCAGCGTTTGTAAAATAAATTATAAAGTTGTATGACTTCGTGCTGTTAAACAACACCATTTTCTTCAAAGTGCCTAATTCGTATAACGTCGCTATTCACTGCAACCCAATAAAAAAAAAAAAGGCAAAAAGCAACAACATCAAATCCATGCAGCCACCAACCTTTCGTCGCAACGACAATGCATCAGTGTGTTCACGCGCCAGTTATACAGCCCGTACTTTTTCTCCATACCGCCGATCCAGAAGGGACATCTCAAATCGTGTGTCCTGCAGCACCTATCGGTCCTTGTGTAACCACCGAGCTGCGAATATTTAGTCGCAGAAAAACCCTTTCCACACCATTTCGTTCCAGGCACACGAAGGAGTTCCATCGCGTCCCGTTTCGGTCTGTTTCAAAGTTTTTTTCTTAATTTTTCTTTTTTTTTATCGCCAGTGCGCGGTCCGGCATAACGACCTCTTTCACTTTTTTATGCTACGATTCTTTCGGTTTCTATTTTTGAACGATGCATTAATAAAAAAAAAGACCACCAAAGAGATTATAATCGCATACCGATAAGGTAGTGTCATTATGTTTTATAACCATGTCATATGGTTCATTAAAATTATTAATTTTGCACGAACTTTTCTACGGTAGCGTATATCATATAAATAATTACCCATCATAGACAAATTACAGATTATATTTTTGAAAATGGATACATAGTTGTCGAACTTCAAATGTAGGTAAAAGATTATTTTTAAAATTGGGAATATTTGTAGAAGTTTTTAAACTACCGTGATATTACAATGGACAGACATCCTGTTTAAAACAAAACTTAAAAAAATAGAACTGACTTCAAACTCAAAAAAAGTGAAAGACAATACATATCTCAAAAGCGACTCATCCAAGAAAAGGTTGTCTGTATGTTATTTATTAATTTATAGTCGCCCAACTTCAACAGCATTTTCTTGAATAAGTCGCTTTTGAGATGAGTATTATTATTCACTTTTAAGGTTCGAAGTCGGTAAAGAAAAAGTAAAAAAGTATATATCCATATTTTTATATAATAGGTAACACTAAAAATACTTTTCTGAGCCTCCATTTTGTAGTCTGTTAATATACCCAAAATCTTTTCCAGTCTGACAAATACTATGCTGAAAATTGAGGTAACAAACGTCACGCATACTTAATGCAAATTTAAGACTTATATGGTTTTCTCATAAATGCCATTGCCAGATCTCGACCAAATTAAAATGGTTCCAAATAAAGAAATAATCATCAAAATCGGTCCATCCTGTTAAAAGTTATGAGGTAACAAACAGAAAAAAAATACAGTCGAATTGAGAACCTCCTCCTTTTTTTTGAGGTCGGTTAATAAAACAAGACCACCACGCGCCTTTATATTATTACGACGAAAATAATAATAATCGTAAACATAGCGTCGAGATGTAAATCCATCATGGATCCGAAGTGGGCCATAAAAATCGATAGATCATTGCCAGCGCGCCTGCTAAAGATCTATAGATCACTAGTGGTTTATTCGTTTACGACGTCAGACGTGTGTTTTGGTTAATTGTATTCATTAATTGGGATAAGACGTTTTTTCTTGACGAGGTATTTTTTTAAATTATATTAAGTGTATTCCCTTAATCTAAATATTAAGTTATTTAAAGTTACCATCAAATAAGTTACTTATTATTTATTTACATGTTCAGGTATTATTCTATTTTCCCTTTTAAAAAACAACAAGTTAACGATTTTGCACAGTTTGCAAAATTAGCGTAACTGAATTAAAAACTAAAATGTGTACCAAGGATTCAAAATCGAAAGTGGAAAATAATGAAAGTTCGATATGCTGATGCGTGACTATGGATTTAGCTTTCATATCAGCATAGATGATTCTTTGTAATTACAAAAAATATATGTATGTATATATATTAAAAAAAAGCAGTATCTGATTGTTTTTCGTGACTAACTAAATCGTAAAGTCAAAGTAAATCATAGAATGATCTACCAAAACATTTCAGGGTTTTAAACCACACATTATTTACGTTAATTTAAACTATTTAGATTATACCGACTAATAATATTACCCACCTGTATTTTAAATGAAGTCTAATAAGACGCTATTTACATATGAAATATGTTATAGCACTACAATTTACGGACTTCATCAGTAACGATCATCATTAAATGTATGTTGTTCGGTTTCATTAATTTTGATTATTTATTGATTGCGTCAGTATTTATTTTACAGTAAAAATGGAAAATACGTTAACTAAATATGTTGCGGAAAAAGTAACCGGAAAGAATAACATCCGAATAAGCTACAGCTCGATATAAGAATGGGTTAAATGTAAATCTACACTCATATTTTCAATGGTCATTTTATCAGACATGTCTTCTTCAATGATGTAAGGAATTAATATTTTTATAACCTTTAGACAGTAATACACAGTAAGACATGGGTTAGAGATTAGTCAATTCGGTAAAGATTTCTAAGTATACTCCTAGACAAGCTAGTTGTAAAAAATTACTGGTTAAGTTGTGAGAGCACAGAAACATCGTTCAGTCGATTGTGAGCGAGCGAGCACAGGTTATGATCGACAAATAATGTTCTTTTTCCTTACTTTTGATTTAAGTTAGTCGTTTTCTGTGATATTATACAACCAGCAAATATTAGTCGTATAATATGCAACTTGAAATAAATATTATTGCCGTCTCGCTTTATTACCGATGCGCGCTCGTAATGTTTCATAAATTTAATTCGGAACCGTTTGTCGAGATTGCTAAAGTCTTTGCATTCAGACCGTACGTTTTTTATAAAAATCGTTTCGAATCGTGCCAGTCTTTATCATACGTCCCCACAGGAGGGTTCAGGCCTTCCTTATGTATGGTAAAGGAGGATGGGCCATGACCTTCCACGCTGGCTCTATGTGGATTGGAGATTATATCGACTGCAAATGCAGCCGGGGCCAAAGGCTTAACGTGCCTTCCGAAGCACGGAGTAGCTCGAGATATAAATTTTTCGGTCACCCATCCTGTGATCGACCCTTGCAAAAGTTGCTTAACGACAACGATCGCGGGCCGCGGTGCTTATCCACTCCGCCACCGACCTACTCTCTCGTGCCAGCACCGATGTTTAATAAACAACAACGAATCGATATCAATCCATATAGAGTTATGACGTTACATTTTCATGGTCTGAGATTGACGTTCAATTGAAACTAAACCCTACAAAAAATCTTGATCATGGCGTCATATAGCCTAAAAATAGCCTCGAACTTGACGTCGACCAGAGTATTTTGACAGCATAGAACTTTACTAAAATAAAACTTAAGTTATCTTTTGTGAGCGTTATTTAATTGAGGTTCTGTATTATGATAGCGTTGCTCTCGACATCAAGTTTGAAGCTGATTTTACAACGGAATAGCACTGTAGGGTTGATATTCCGAATAGCACTTGGCTTGCTTTCGGGTGGTGACTACAAACTTTTTGGTCTGTTTCCGCCCCGTCTAACAAGCAGCCATACATATAAAAAATATTAATAAGTTATTTACTGCCTAAATTAAGGTAATCATAATCTTGAAATCATAATAAATGTTAGACAACATCATGTATATTGCTCAGATTCCAAGATGAGTAGCTAAAGCCCCGTATTATGGAGTATCCGAGACAATAAAGGTATCACAACACCCAGACCGGAGAATAAACAGAAAAGACCGGTCGGGTGGAAGTAGAAAATGACATCGACTCGACCAGGAAATGAACCTGGGACCTCAGAGATGGGAGCGACACCTTGAAACGGGCGCGCGAACCACTCGACTACGGGAAAATGGTGATATTGTTTTGTTAAATCATGATTTTCTTATAATTATTTTCTAGTTATAATAAGTTTACGTAATTCAACTAATGTAAAAATTTCATTTTTTTTTTATTTCAAAATATGTATTTTAAAATAAGTAAGATGTTACATAACCTTTTTCCTTTTACGAAATGAAATATAAAATAGTATACCATCTTTCGCTAGTGAACTCAAATATTGTTTGATGTGTGTATATCTTCCATACTCTAGTAACTCTATACGTGACTACTGATTCATAACCGTCCAGAAGCTCAGTCTCGGAAATCCATGAAGATTTCACTCCCGGGAGACTACCATGCTAATCAAGGTATATACCTAATTATGGTGGCAAACCACAATGAATCTTTCGGTTTAGATTTGACTGGATAACCACAAATATGGACGTTATAATTATGGTATATTCACAAAAGAAATATATTAAAGATTGTACAATATTTATATTGTATATATTTGTAAAAAATGTGAAAAAATATAGTTATAATAATCAGAACCACCACCAAAAAAAAAACAAACAAACAAATAAAGCACCCAAAAAGTGATTATTTACAGTGTCAAGCTAGAAAATATAGTTTATAAAATATTGCGACGTGGTTTATGGTGCTTGCTTCTAATTAACGGCATCGAAAGCTTTGTGTTACATACATTTTTGAAATTAACTACTCTGTGTTTTTATCTGAGTAAAAAGCTTTGAAAAATAATTCAAACTCTATGGCATTATTTAAAAATAATGTGCTCTCCCCAACTACTCCACTACCTAAGCGAAAAAAAAAGTCCAACACGAATGCTCCAAATTCAAAACTTGAAAAAAAAAAACAAACCAACCTCCTATCGCACCGGCAATATGATATAGTATACGGCCTAAAGTTGAACAGTCCGTATCTTCTCTTGAATGGGCCGATGTTCTTTCTACAGTTATCGTGAGCTCTACAGCATCGATCCTCTTTTTTATCTGTGCCCAGTTCGTTGTAGGACTCAGCTAGCTGGCCGGCGCCACACCACTTCGTTCCCGGTACTATAAAATTGGCGCGAATTGATCTGCGTGACCTGTGCGTTTGGTTAGTTCAGAAAAATAAAAAAAAATAATAAAAAAGAAAGAAACTGAAATTTGTTTTTGAAAATTAATTAGAAAGTTTATAGAGGAAAATAAGATTGGTGGTGCGATTAATTACATAACAAAAGTAAGAAGGACGATTTAAAAATATAAAAAAAAACGAAGACATGTGAAAACTTAATGGACAAATGAGAAATGAATACTATGAATAAGAAATTATTATACTAAATATATATTAATGGTGAGATGGCTGTTCAAGATATCGACGAATTTTTTTATGATTAATATTTTTCGGTACTTAATCTTATAACGGGATTAATCACAACTAAATGGATTTGTAAAAATATTAACTTTTAGGTTTTTAAATAAATTCCTACTTATCACTTTTTACAGTTGAAAGAGCATACCTATTTATAATATTTTAATGTAAAATTGTATGTTTTAAGCTTTCAACCCGCTAGCGACCTTAATTTTTTATATTATTTGCCATTTTTGTGGTGGTTTTCGATTAGCAAAATTTATGCGAGAATAGTAGGTACAGTTTACATTTCTGTATCCGATTTTTCAAATATTATTTTATAAACTTGAAATTATTTTTAAAAAAGAGAAGTTACACCTAAATGCCTATTCTATTTCACCTTACGCGAAATTTCGTATACTTTCGAAATGCTATGACTCCAAAATAAATGTATAGTATAGCATTTTGAATGCAAACTTGATCAAATATAATAAATAAATGTATTTTTCGACAATTTTTAATGCAACGGAGGTAAGAACTCTGCCTCTGATGCACAGATAATCTTCACGAATATGTTTTGAAATATTCCAAATTTTCGTTCGAGATCAAATAGAATAGCCCTTCAGGTGTAATATCGTAACGAATTATCGTAAGAATTATGGGCATTATAGGTAATACACATAATTTTGAGAATATAGATAGACGTTGAGATGCTATACAAACATAAATAAAAAATAAACGAATATGTAGTGAAAATCGGTAATGCAGTATCTATGGTGAAAATATATTAATCCTATTTCTAACCTTTTTTGTGTACTTTATATTGATCGTCTGAATTGAATAATTTTAAAAATTTTTAATTCTCTTTGGTTTTGTCTCGATTAGAGATATTAGGTTATAGATGGATTTATAAAATATTCTTTATTGTATACACAAAACAAAATTCTTATATAACGAAAACAGGAGACGTTCGATTGGTGGCCTTATCACTAAAAGTGATCTCTTTCAGGCAACATTGGGATGGAGTTAAATATAAAAGATTTAATGATTATTGACTATATATAATCATACTTTTTTATGGACAAGTAGTGCTGTCTAACAAGTTTCTTAAATAATTGAATAAAATTAGCTTTTTTAAGCGAGAAACGTAGCGCATTTCATAAACGTAACGGACGGTAATAGATTTATATAAAATATTTACAGATTGCTAAATAAGTATACATAAAGTTAGTGATATAATATTTTGATGGTATAGTATTTTGATGATGATTTCGTGAATAGTGATCAAGGATTAAAGTTTGAAAGAGGTCGTTACTAAAGATCCGTTCGGCGAACACGGTCATACAAGAAATATACAGAGCAAGTTTAACAGATGTATTCTATGGATACACATGAAGAAGTTTTCGTTATGGTTGATAGTCTTGATTTTAGTCTATGGTTGAAATCCAAAAGAATTAGTACAAAATTAATCGTTAAAAATAAATGGCATCACTGTGGCTATTTGAAAAAGTACTATTACGACGTTTTAGTATTATAATAAAGTATACAAAACAATTTTTATTTTCGTGAAAAGCGAAAATAAATATCAGCATCACCATTTCATGTCATATAATGATAATATAATTTATTTTTTTATGATAAAGGTGGCTGTTCATTATCCTATTTTTATCAAATACAGTCAGGATGCCTATGTGATACAATTTGTGTAATATTTTCTGATGCTGATCAAGGTTGAAAACGGATTTTGTCTTATAGCGATATGAAATTGCATTTTGGTATTCCCACTATTTGCAGTGCTGAATTAAGCCAGAGAGGAGCCTGAAGCAAAACTTTTAAATTTTAAGTTATCATCAGAGTAAAAAAATAACTTAAACGTCAATGGAAATGCAATTTCAATATTACCAACAAAAGAATTTCCTCAACTTTATACTATTGGTGAAATAACGTGTAATTTCAACCCAGTGCATTTCATACGTCCGTATATTTAATCTATGGATATTTAATCGTTAATCTATGGATGTTAAAGTCTTACTCTTACTATTTAATCATAAAGATTCAAGATCATCCTTATTTAATCTAACTAGTAATATTCATTTATTATCACGTGTCTATAAACGAAAATAGTGGGAATGCCAGATCACAAGCCTGAGCTATCCATGGCAAGTTAACAAACTTAAAGATAAGACTAAAATCAAGACTTCGTTAATGACGAAATCATGGACGTTACCTAGCCAGAGAGTTCTCCCCGACTTTATTTCTGTTCTCCATCATATAGGTCAGTTCTTCGTGCCTTCGTAAGCATTCCATTTTCAATTTCTCATAGTCGAACCACTGCGCGATATCTGTCGGCAGTTTATCACTTTCCTTGAGCAAGTGAACTGTCAAATTGCGAAAATGGCGAAAAAACTTCTCGTCTTCTCTAGAAGCAGTATTTTTCTGCGATAATCTGTAACCTTCTTCGTCTAATGCCAGCTTTAGTTCCTTTCTTAAAGTTTTTAAAAAGTTTCTAGCAGTTTTCCTTTGCGTTATAAACTCGCAGTCCTGCATTTCACCATTTGGCGCGTAAATTAATTGAACAAAATGGCGACTGTCGGTCAGCTGACGAAGTTTTAAACCGTGTCTGAAACAAAGAAAAACTTTTTGAGTAAATAGGTATGGAAAATATTTATTATTTTTTTAACGGAACGTTACAATAAGTTTATTTACTAGGTAAACAATCAAAGTACAAGGGTCTAAAATTATGAGGGCGTCAAAGAAAAACTTATATAACATGTGATGAAGTTGTAATATATTTTTTACCACATCTAAAAGTTTCTCAGGCAATAAAACTTTTTCGAACGAAAACCACGCCTTTGCCGTGTCGGAAGCGTTATTTGATTGCTGGAAATAATTAAAACGTAATGATAAAGTTATCGATAAAAGAAGCATCGATGAAAAAATATATGATGACAGCGATCGCGGCCGACAATGAAAATATCGTTTTTTTTAATGCTACACTACGTGGGGCGTTATACAGAGCATAATTAATAGTATTAGAAAGTCAATTATGAAATTTAAAATAAAAACCCCCTGAGAACATGTTACTTTTAGGGTTCCGTAGTAAACGACAAACCGTTAAGTTTCGCCATGTCCGTCTGTCAGTCTGTCCATCTGTCGGCGGTTTAACTCAAAAGTATTTGTACTAAAAAGTTGTAATTTGATGATGATAGGCATGAATATATATAGTGGTAGAGTAAGATTTGGAAAATAAAATTTTCAAGGTGTAACGTGTAAAGATTTGTAATGTAAAGTAGGTATGATATTTTTTTTTCGTCTTTCCCATAGTGTGGGGTATCGTAAGATAGGTCTTTCAAAAATATTGGGAGTGTGGGATATTTTTCGTTTTAGTAAACCGTTTGTGAGTTATTAAGCTTAAAAGACCTAATTTTTGATAGAGTCCAGTGCCCCCCCCCCCCCCCCCCCTCTATCAACTAAACGGTCAAAATTGAGGTAAAAATTCAAACGTTACGGCAGTAGTGCCTACACGTATAAAACAAATTTAAAAGGTAAACTATCACACTTAAGTTGGCTTTACAAGTTTATGAGTAACATTCGACCGATCGTATTTAACTCGAAAATTTCGAACAATTCCATAGAAACAAACGTTATTTTTTCTCCTTTTTTAATGGATAATAGTACGTAACCCTTCGTGCGTGAGTCCGACTCGCACTTTCTTTATAATTTGAGAGAATGTTTGTTTTTTTGCCAAATCCGGATTCTTGTGAAAATTATTGTTAATTTTAAACGATGGCCATTTTAGGGCTATGCATTTTTATTATTATAGTTTTGAGACTTTAGTTTGATTGCCTGAGACCAATTGTCATAGTGATGGAGCAATCTCGTAGCTGTGTATATGTGGGGTTTGATTAAGAGTATATGCACGATATGATGTCCCTGATGATTTATGAGTAGATCGAGCAGCGAATGTGGTTACTGAATTAAAGTTTACTGATAGCGTGCGACAATTAATTGTGACTAAAAAAAAATTGTAAGCAATTCAGTTCTTTGTATTCATTAGATTAAGCCCCGAATAAAATTCAACTTCAAAAAGGAGAGACTTTTTTTTATATGTAAAAAGTATTTATCAGGGGAATACGAACGTTGATTTCTTAAAAAATATTAAAAACTTAAATACATTTTTTAACCTTATTAACGATCTTATTGACTGAAATTAGTTATTTGTTGTTTACTATAACTCCTATGACATTTCTGTGAAACAATATTGCACACAAAATAAAATGTATCTTAGATAAAATTCTTAAATTTCACAACAACTCTTATAAATTATATGTATGTACAAAACCCATAATTAAATAAACAAAATTCTCAGCAAAAGTCACACTTGATATATTGTCAGTGTAATATTAATGTAAATAGTGTAAAATTCCCTACAGGCCAACGTCATCGAAACATTCTGACAAATTAAAATAGCACTTAGTTACTTTTAAGCAATTTAACATGCTTTGACATCCCCTGTGCGTATTCATGTTGCAGACACTTGTTCAATTAGGACTGATTGTTTTACTGAGCTAATAACGATTTTCTTTACTTTGAAGTGACACTTCAGGCTATGTTGTCTACAAATAATAAATAATTCTGCAATACGTATGTATATTCAAAATGTTCAATAATATTTCAAAAGTTACTTTAAATTAAATAAAATAAGCTGCCCGAAAGGATAGCTAAATTATTCAAAATAGTTTTGATAATAGCTATTAGACGAAATACAAATTTGTATGAATTCGAAAAGACAATGAAAACTCAGATTTTTTAATTTGTCTGCAACATGAATAGAGACTATTACAAGCCGACAGACATATCGGTTACAAATGCACCCCCGGCTGCGTTTGATTTACTTAATCTAGGTTTGCATATGCGAAAGAGAGACAGTGAACTTTTTTCCGTTAACTCGCAATTTGATATTTTACGCAAATATCAAATTTCATTTATTTTTCGATATTGAAAATTAAACTTTAACTCAATCTAGAAAGAAAGATACTCTTCTTATAAGTTTTTTATTACTATAAATGTTAATTTAATAAGTGTACATAAAAGCTTTTGAAGAGACAACATTTTTTAATTTCAGACTAAAATACTTTAACTGAATTTTAGCTTCTTTAACTGTCAGTTGATGGCGCTTGTGTTCTAATTTAATAATGTTTTTATATTAATGAAAATAAATTATCGAATTTTAATCAGAAGCTTAAGCTAATAAAGGTACTTTAAAAACAGAAATAGAAAAGATCACAGTTAAGTAATGGGATAATAATGAGCTTTTTCAAATGATAACAAAGTATGTAAAATTAAGAAATAAATGAAAACGAAATATTAGAAGATGTCAGATACACAATCGGGAATAGAACCTGGGAGGATAGATGGCGACATTTTATTAATCGCCGGCGTCGAGGTCGTCAAAATGAAAGATGTAGTATATTTTCTGAATTGTTCATTTCTACGTAATGTTGACAGCTCGCCCTCGATGTACCCTTGATACTTGGCTAATAGATATATTTCGTTCCCTAGACACTTGCCAATGGCTTTATTATTGTTATGATAATTCTATTAAGTACCCAGTATCATATTATTTGTTGATACAAAACTAACTTTAAACGCGAGATGGGATTATAGTCGCTCATTTTTTTTTGGCCTTTTGAGGCGAAGATCAGTTGACAGTGCAGCCTTGTCCTTAGTATTGAATATTTATTTTTTGTTTGATTACAGGGACGCGGACAAAGGGATCAATACATATTTGAAGTGAAGTATTTATATTTAAAATATTTTCGTTATATATTTCAATAGTTATTTTGAGTTGATAACGCAGAAAATACGTATTCTATATTCTTCAAATAATTTACCTGACGGACAAACAAATAAAAATTTGTCGTCATCACCCTTCTACTAATGTTTAAGGAATAAAAGCATCTCAATAGAATCGCATCATCATCATCAGTCCTTTTACGTCCCCACTTCAGGAGCTCAGGCCTTCCTTATGGATGGTTAAGGAGGATGGGCCATGACCCTCCACGCTGGCACAATGGGGATTGGAGGGTATAAACCACTGCAAATGCAGCCGGGTACAACGGCTTAACGTGCCTTCCGAAGCAAAGTGTAGCTCGAGATAATAATTTTTTGGTCACCCATCCAGTGACCCTTGCGAAAGTTGCTTAACGACAATGATCGCGGGCCGCGGCGTATATACTCTACGCCACCGAGCTTCTCTACTAGAATCTCAAATACTTGCATTTTGCCATTCTCTATCTACTCTAAAAAAGACATACGGCCGGTTTCTGAACTGAGAAAAGCACAATATCTCAACTGATTGTTTTCAATAACCTAAGTTTTTTACGTTTCATACGGCAAAAAGTCCTAGTTTTATCAAATTGCTGTCAACTGATCATTAAAAAATTATAAATCTGTAATGAAAACCTGTTTAATTGTTTAAAATGGCTTAAGCACGGTTTGGGACGTGCTCAACGTCGAATTCTCAATTCAGAAACCGGGTGATAGCATTAATAATATACGACTCTAGGTAGATAGTACAATGGCAAATTGAAAGTAGTTATGATTATAATAATATGAGACTATTACGTAATTTGATGGTTCTTGACGCTGGGCAATGCGTTACGCATACCCGCTCCCCATGTCGACGTGTCATGTAGGACTCTCCCTTGCGAATCCACCCCAGAATGGGGCTAGTCAAATAGCAGGGGCATACTCACTAAAACCCAATGATGTCTCTCCATGGAGGCGATGCACGTGGATAGCCCGAAGACCGTTTCTTTTCACCTCTCTTTGGCCCTTCCAGGGTTACGTCTCAGAGACGTTTGAGACGCACCCCGCAGACAGGGCGAGAGTGTGTAAAGCCCAGCCGGCGTGGAAACCGGTCGAACTGCCCCCGACTAAAGATTGGTAATGCGCAATCGTGCATTTTCAGACCTTGCTCATCCAGGAGGACCATCACAGGAATAACCCCCTCATCGTGGATCCCCCCACTAACTCTGACTTCATTATAAAATAATTTTGTCTCATACATTCGATTATATCATTTTATAAAACAATATTGTTTGAGACCATTGTCTTAATTTAAATGTCTGTGTATATGTTCGTTGCTTCTATGACAGCGCTGTGTTCAACGCCGAGTTAAAAGCTGTAGTACGGTATGAATTGCTACCCCATAAAAAAGTTGCCAATGTAATTAATAAAAATATAACAACAAACTGAAAACGACACGACGTTGTATATGACGCTTGCGTACTTTAAACCCTTCTTTTTGTCTCCCCTTCGGAAGTTGCTTGGTTTAAAGATTTCAATGTCTGAGTGATTTTTAATACACATTGCACAAGTATTCTAATATATATTCCTATAACTACATTTTTGTTAATATAAGGAAAGAAAAAGATACATTCATTGCTCACAGATAGAAAAACCTAAAAAATGGAGAAATCTTTCGGAACGAATGTTTTTTTTAAATACTTCCTCACTGAATGTAAAAATAATAAGGGAAAAGA